TAGACTTACATGATGATAATAGCATCGTGGGAGTCCAAGTGGTATTTTTTAACAGTGTAAATAATTTCTTGCAACTTTTAAGTGGTGAATAGAACAGATAGAAAAAAGTTAATTACACTATTGAAAAATAAGATGCTTCCTAATGATAAGATGCTTCCTACAAGTTCACTTTAAAAAAATTCTTGTGATTAAACCTGTATATTTTTCAGGCAACAATTTTCTGGAACAAAACTGAGCAGGACACAATTTGCAAATTAATCCAAATACTTACATTTTTTAAAAAGTGCTTTTACCCAGTTAAAATTTACCCAGTTCTTAGCTGAACAGAATGGTGAAAGTAAGTACCCAGTAGCCTATCTACCTTATTTCCATCATGGGTTTCACAATGAGGGAAATCTATGTATTTAATGCCTGCAGAGACTATTTTTGGGTGCTTTCTCACACTGCAGCTGGATTTATTGAGGTATTATGCAGACAAGTGATTAGCAAGAATAAGCAGATGTGGGAATTTGCACCTGCTTAAGTTAGACATGGGGAAAATCAAGGAATGTATATTTTGAAAATGGAATTCTTACATTCATATAAAGAGCTTTACTTTCATTAGGTTTTTTTTCTTTGAAGAATAATCTTCATTTATTAGAGCTCCTTTCCATTTTAATATTTAAGTTCGAGGAAGTGTAAATAATATTGGATAGATGGCACTAGCAACTCACACAATCTAATCAAATACATAACATATAATTACCAACTCATTCTTTCTGTGCAAACTCCCCCCCCCCTCAAGTTGCTGTGATAGATGTTAATGTTAGAATTCTTAGAGTTTAAGATTCCTTTTTTGAACATGGTTACATGGAAGAATCAAGCAAAAATAAACTGGATCCTCTTCAATTTATACAGATTATTTACATTGCTTGGTTCTTCCAAAATGTTTCATCCAATTCTCACTTCGTTGCACTTGCAATTTTTATAGTTCTCCTATTGATTTTCATTGTAATTTATTTGATAGAGTCACCCACAGTTGTTGAGGGTCCTGCAGCATACAAGTTTAATAAATTATTACCTGAAAAACAGGATAAAAGCACAATTATGAGACCTTTCCTGTGCAGGAGGGTGGGAATTGAATGTTAATAGAGTAATGGAAATGAGCTCAGAAGATGGAATGAATGAACTGCACTATAATGTCATCCCATTAACAAAATTCTTAAATGAAAAAGTATTTATGACAACAGATTCTTTTTCCCCCTGCAATCTGCGATCTCAATTCTCCAGATGAGTGGGAGCCTTAACAGATTTTTAAACAGAATGGGCCTGTGGCAAACAAGCTATAGAGAAGTTTTGTAGCACATGGTTTTTTTATATTATGAATTATTAAAAGTGTTTTTACTTGTCAGAGTTGAACAAACTACAAAACCAAGAACAAAAGACACTATGACAAAAGTCGATATGGAAAAGGATACAAGGAGACATTTAGCTCTGGGTGCAAGCAATTATTTGCTGTCTTCAATGAAAATATTGGGCAATTTGGTTTTCCTATGAAAATGGTTCCTTTACTGCCTGGATACACAAACTAAACAACTTTATATCCTCAGTTTCTGTACATTTGTATTTCTGTGGCATATTCTATTCTACATTTCTGGATTAGCGTATTTATGCTCAGTTCACTTGATATATTGTTTCACTAACGAAACTGCAATTTGTTATTTGAGCATTCTTGCTTTTCTAATGTTTCCGGGTTAAATACGAAGAACAATCAATACTAGCAATCATTATCAAATCAAGGTTTATAGTACTGATATTTAGAAGTCCTAAATTATTGAGAAAGAGCACACTACAGGTAATCCTTAACTTATAACAGTTCATTTAGTGACCCTTCAAAGTTACAACAGTACTGAAAAAAGTGACATGACCATTTTTCACTTAATGACCGTTGCAGCATTCCCATGATTACATTTGGATGCTTGACAACTTTTTGGCTTTTGGAAGCCAACAACAGCTCCAGTGGCCTAGAGGTGGAACTCTCGCCTCACAATCAGGAGGCTGTGAGTTCGATCCTAGGTAGAGGCTAATATTTGGAATAGACTCTCCTGCTTGAGCAAGGGGTTAGACTAGATGGCCTTCAAGGTCCCATCCAGCTCTGTTATTCTATGAAACAACTGATTCATATTTATGACTGTTGCAATGTCCTGGGGTCACGTGACCATCCTTTGCGACCTTCTGAGGAGTCAATGGGGAAGCCAAATTCACTGAACAACCGTGTTACTAATTTTAACAACTGCCGTGATTCACTTAACAAATGTGGCAAGAAAAGTTGTAAAATGGGTCAAAATTAACAAATTTAGCAACATAACAAATTTAGCAACATAAATTCTGGGCTCAATTGTGGTCATAAGTCGAGGACTACGTGTACATCAGTGCTACACTATGGAACTCATGGACTTTAAGCTTGGTCTCCAACTGAGCAATGACAAAACTGTAACTATTAGCAACATAAATTACATTTGGAGCCAAGCGTAACATTAAAGAAGTATTTTAGTCTCTGCATTAGGAAATCTGTGCCCTGTAATAAGAAATGTAAATGCAATATAAATTTTCAGTTCAAAATCCAGGCGGGGTTAGTAAACGTGCCTGCCCAGAACCAATAATGCCAACTATACTGGGTTAAACAGACCAACAGCGTAAGACAACATTCCTTCCTACCTACCTACATGCGGATGGATGATTTTGCTTAAAGGTTGCATGCATTCCAGAAATTTCTGAAGTCCACATTTGGATGCAAACACAGTAGTTTGCGAAGAAATGATTCAGTTTCAGGTCTTCTTATACTCACCCAGAGTATTGGTGGTTAAATACATGAAGGAAAAGATACCCATTTTATAGCTAATGTGACACATTTTCCATAGTGTATTCAGCGTAAGTACAACTGGAGTCCTTTCCTATTTTTCAGTTACAACAATGTTGACTGGATTTAAGAACTGGTAACAATATATGGCACTTAGGAATTATACTGTCAATCACCCATGAGCAATCGGGAAATAATTTGGAGTTATCAAGTACAGGGTTGTCCTGCTTTAAATGATCCTTTTAAGTAATGCTGACCAGGGATTGTGACTTAGTCACTTCCCATCTTGACTATTGCAACAACTCTACATGGGGCTGCCCTTGAAGAGCATCTGAAAGCTCTAGCTGATGCAAAATGCAGCGGTCCGCATGGTTTTCTGCAGACCTGGGTGTGCACATGTATCCTCTCTCCTGCGGGAGCTGCATTGGTTGCCAATTTGCTTCCGAGTGCAATTCAAGGTGCTGGTTGTCACCTTCATGGCTCGGGACCAGGTTATCTGAGGGACCGTCTCTTGCCGGTCACATCTACTCAATCCACCAGAGCAGGGAGGCAAGGAATGTTGTGGGTACCAACCCCTAGGGAGATATACCTGGTGTGACCCAGAAGAAGGGCCTTCTCCATACCCCCCCAAGATTAGAATAGTCCCCATTCTAACACTCTTTTGGAAGGCGCTGAAGACCTCGTTCTGCCAGCGGGCCTGGGGAATGCAGAGTGGGATGGAGCCCATTAAATGGCTCGTGTGATGTGTTGTCACTGGGGTGGTGGTGGGGTTATTGTATTATATTTTATGAATTTATATGATTCTATTTTTTTAATATGAGATTTTTATATTCTTGTAAGTCACCTTGAGTCGCCATGTGCGAATAGGCGGCAATATAAATTTCCTTAACACATTTTCCATGTTAATGTCACTGAAACAAAACAAATGAAGCTGGAATCCCAAAGGTTGCTCAGATTTTGGGTGGTCATTTCTTTTTTCCTTTTGTAAAACACACTCTGTGGTGAGTGGTCCAATACTGGAGGTTTTAAAGAAAAGGTTGGAAAATCTTTTGTCTGAAATGGGTTTTTTTGCCTGATCAGAGGGGTTGGTTTCATTCCAACTCTGTTATTATCTAGCACAAAACTATTACAATAGCACAGAACAATGAAATCGAAATGTACCATCAGTATCTAATAAGACCTATGCTTTCTCCTGAATTCCCAGTGTTTAAAATAACTACTCAATTGAGAACACAAAGCATGATTGTGGGGGTGCATGTATAGCTCTTCATTTAAATGCAGTTCATGATTCTCTACCATTTAATATTTGGCATTGACTGATACTGGTCATCTTTTATTTCCCACTTAAAACTTTTAACATAATTCCCATCAAAGCCTACAGAAAATCATCTAGATATCTTTTGCTTCTTTTCTGTTTTTTGACATGTGGTACAAATAGTGCGTTGAAAAATTCATTATGCTGAGATCCCTTCAAGCACATATATCAATAAGCAATATATTTTTGGTGCTGGGTGTAAAATATTCTTTCTTTTCTTCTAGAAAACCCCCTTTGAAACCCAGATGAGTAGTTTTTGTATCTATTATTCCTCTAGTTCTATTATTCATGTTTCAATTAGCCATTATTTGGAAATTCAATTTATAAAAAATAAAGGCACCAATATTAACAGGTTAGATACCACCATGGAAAAATCAAACACAACAACCCACAACTATAAAGTGTATTGATGAATTACATATTAGAATTTAAAATATATTGGAGGTAGAGCTGTAGATAGATGTACAAATCAACTTGAGTATATGAAATAAATGAGGTTTTTATTGGCATTTTTAAACAGTGTATTCATTCTTTTCAAAGGCAAACTTAATATTATTTTTAAAATAAATTATGCAAATGCTTTATCTCAGGTTTTGGTAATCTCATAAGATTTAAAAAATATCAGTTTGAACAAATTTATAAAATAAAGACAATGTTCTTGACACATGAAGATTTATAGGTTAGGGTTAATCTTTTCATAATTTTTGTTTTTTGATCCATATCCAATTCATTCACCCATGTTTATTTCTAATAATCTAGCCCTAAATTTGCATGATGAAATTGTTGTCATTCTGCTTTTCTTCCATCCAACATTCCTTCTGTTGGTTCTATATTTTCTATTTTAAGAAAAAAGAAGGAATTAACACCTATAAATCTGTGTAATTTTTAATGACATCTTGAACAAACCATTTAATATTCAGCTTATATAACAGTGCTCAATGGAACTGGACTTGTTAATGTCTACATTTTAATAGACATTTTTCATGGAAAAAGTGTCAGGTCAATCTAACCTGAACTGACAAAAATGTTATTTGCCTTAAACTTTTTGCTCCACCAAATCGGGATAGTGTAAATAAATATGGAATTCCAACTGAAAGGCCCAATATACAATTTTCCTTCAAGGATCAACACCATTTTACTGTCATAAAAAACTTCAATAAACTATGAAATAATGAACCTATTGAAGATCTGACCCTACTCTCAATGACATCATACAAGTACTGCAAAAATATAAGAACTGTAACAATTCTACTTTTCCAAAAACTCTTCACTTTTTAACTTGCAACCATTTTTTTTCTTTCTCAACAAATGTATATATCTATGTTGAACTACAAGACTATCAATTAACAAATCTACCTCTGAATGAAGTTCTATAATTATTGATTTGACCAACCAACAACTCATTCTAGGTTTTAGGGTTTGTTTGGATGTTAATATATTATTACTCTCTCTGAAGCAATTTATGAATACAAACACACACAGGTGCAAGTTTACAATTTAGCACGAGAATATAAAATCCACAGTAATGTTGAAGGAAAGATTCCAAGCAGATCTGGTTTCTGATAATTTCCATTCTTTCCTACAAAATTTGCCTGGATTTTTTAATTCGTGCTTTATTGTTAGCTTTTCTGGAAAAGAAATACTGGACTTAAAGCAGTCCACCATTATGCAGGATAAATTAATTTGAAGACATTAACAAAGTTGTATTTACAACACAAATATCAAATTCTTTTAGCTGCTACAGCAATTAGAAGTGCTAAGTCTGTGGGTTCAGGTGAACTCATGATATACATATATATAATTCTTGGCCTTAGAAATTATCTAGGTTTGATAACTTAAAAAATACACATGCTTAGATCCCAAGAGTTACATTCTGCAGAACCAAGAAAGAAATGTTTACAATCTGACATTCAATTCACTGAATCCTAATTTCGAGGTTTAATCCTTAGTAACTTTTAATTCTACTCATAACATGTTTCAATTTAGGTAATATATTTCTTGTTACAAAGTGAGTGTTTCTGAATAATACAATGTAAACATTTTTTTAATATCATTTTTCTTATTCAAAATTTATTCAGATCTGGCAATATGTCCCTTAACATAAATAACCGGCTTCCGTAAATACTATGCTCACACAGATTTCCACTTATTTTAACCAGATTTTTTTAAAAAAATCAACTTTAAAACTTCAACGTGGCAATTTCTTCAAAAATGTTTCTTGTCTTCTGCAAGTGAAGAGATAGGCAATGATCTTTAGATATGAAATAATGCATCAAGTAAAGAGTTGATAGATTATAAAAGATTAAAAGCAGGCATATTGTTTTATCAGTAGAAATAGCAATTAATGTTTACAAAGGAGGGAAATAACAGTTTTGATTTTGCAAATGGCCCAAGTCTCTTCTGTTCCCTATCCATATTCATTTTCAATTCAATGCTATTTTTCCTACCCATGAACAGTGCATTTAAACATGTGTCAGTTGTGCTAAAAAAAAAACAATTAAAAAAGATACTGTGCATTTTTTAAAAAAAGAAACAGCTTATATCCTGACTACAAACAATGTTTAAATTCAATATTCTGGATTAATTGCAATTTAAAAAATAAATGGCCTATTTCTACACATCCATTTTTTTAACAAGGGCTGCATAAAATAAAGCCCCCTTTTCATGACCATTATTTGTAGACCATAATTACTCTTTAAATCCTTACAAGATACTGGGGCAGACCACTCTTCCACCTGCCTTCATTATTTTAGACACTGTTTTGCTATCTTACAGCAAATTCAAGAAATAAAATATTGCTCCAGTGAAACTATTTTATCTCCAATGATTACACAGTATTCCTAACACCCCTAAGCAAAACCTTTGGACAAGTGAGAAAGAGAATACAGAGTTGAAAACGAGTGTTGTTGGTTTTTTTGAAACAAAACAAAACAAAACGAAAACAGATTGGGTGTTTATGTGGCTATTCCAACTCTTGATTAATGCCACAATCATAACCCATCATCAAGCCTAACGGATCCTAAAGGTCAGTCTGTCAGCTACCAGTCCTATTTTGGAGGGTTTCCTTAAATGGCAGTCTCAAACAGCGATGGTGGGGAAAGTCCATTGAGACTGGGATAGGCCAGAAAGTGACCAAGACCATGGTGTTGTTATTCAGCAGCTGCCTGGCCTTGTCGACGGGAACAGCACCACCATTTTGCCTACCTATGGCAAGTCTGAAGACGTTTCTGCACCATCCAATCCTTTCAGGTTGATATTTTGTTCAGTGATGTCTGACAAACTGTCCATCTTGAGGAGTCACTGGGGAAGAAGCCCCAACATTATCTCAAGCTCTTGTCGGGACGTTGATTTGTCATGTCTTTGAATAAAGAGATTTCTGTGTCTGGAAGTAGCTCACTTCGAGAAATGAAAACATAAAAATTGAGGTTTATTTTCCTAAACATTTAAATCACTTATCTGCCCTTTCTCAGGACAGATTTCTGCTCTTCGACGACTGTTTTGTCTGCAGTAGCAAAGTGCACAGTGTGGCTCTCTCCAAGCCACTTTGAAAAGTCACATTAAATTCCTGCTATAGGCAGTCTTTACATAGTGCAACTTGTCCTTTAAGATAGTCTCTACAAGGGCAGATCCTTTTATGGTTTAGATGAGACCCTGCGCAGCTGAACAACAAAAGATCACCCTGGAAAACACAGTGCTTTCTCTTTTCATCAAAAGATGGGACCAGAATATCATTTGCAGACTCAGCAGTATGACACTGAATGTTGTATCTGGAAAATGAAGGGGAAAAAACCCATGAGATACCTAATCCTATATTGTACATATTGTTTTGTAGTACAAACAATTGGGATAATATTCATATTTTATTACTGATGCAAAACCTATTTTCATTCTTTCTTGTTCATGTTTGTTTATATCTATCATCTATGTATCATCATCATCTATCAATCATTATCTATCTATCTATCTATCTATCTATCTATCTATCTATCTATCTATCTATCTATC